AGTACATACGTTTGCTGGGCAACAACGTGATTGAACCTTCTATCCCAGGTGTATTGGCATATTGTTAGCTAACCAGTTGTGTGTATTTCTTTGTGAAAATGAGTACCGCGGCGTACTCATTTTCACAAAGCATTTGCATCCCCTCTTAGAAAGAGGGAACTTCGAAATAATTGTCTCAATATCTTCGCTAATTAAATTAATCACCGTAATTTAGCTTACACTTATGAATTTAGCTAGCGCTTAAAATGTACAATAATCATTTGACTACCCGACAAACTCCGAACTTTATTCATTTGGCCTACATAATAGTTTCATCTTGCTGTACTATATACTCCAACATCACTGGCGCATGGTAACAACCAACTGATGCAGACCATTTCCGGTCACACATTACTCTCCATAACACCACCCCCTAGTTCCGTCACCTTTGGATCTGATAACAAACATTGTCAGTTATTATATGATACCTTATCCACTAGCACCAATCGGTAAAAGTGACCACAAATGTGTTATCTGGAAACCCAAGTCAAGAAAAATTACTAACACAATTACTCGGATCACCATCCGTCCTTTTTATGCAACTCGCCTTCATGATTTTAGCCAATGGCTAAATAGGCAGAACTGGGAAATTATTAGAAATTGTTCCACCACTCAGCAAAAAATGAATGAACTTTATAAGATTTTGAACTCTGGTTTAAGTAAATACCTTCCTACCAAGAGTATTAAGGTTCATAACAGTGAAAAACTCTGGTTTAGAAAATTAGGAAACTTATATCTGACAGACAGAATGCTTATGCATCTGGTAATTTTTCACTTTATAAGAAGCTTCGTAACAAAGTTAAGCGCTCTATTACTGATGCTAAAAAACATTAATATAACAGTAGATTAAAACACCTTTACCAAGAAAACCCACGTAAATGGCATCAATACATCAAATGTGCCACTAATTCTTGTAATCGCAATAGTATGAATTTACAGGTCCCTGATATCTCACCCCAAGACAGTGTTGCAATTGCCAACGCGATCATTGCCCAATTTACTAGTTTTGGTAAAGAAATACCACCACTTGAAACTTCTCCTCTTCCATGCTTTTTACCATCACCTTACTTATGTCCTTGAGTAGAGCCTTGGGAAGTTTACTTTAAACTTAAAAATCTAAATTCTAATAAATCTGCTGGACCCGACGGAATACCCCACGTACCTTAAAGGAGTTTGCAGTTGAACTCAGTGAACCTTTACCTTTGTTGGAAAAAACAATTTAATACATTCGCTAAAGGTTCACTGAGTTCAACTGCAAATTACCAATACAATGGAGACGTGCAGTAGTGGTTCCTGTTCCTAAGGTGTATCCCCCCCCCCCCCCCCGTCGATCGTTCCCTGGATTTGTGACTTATTTTTTGCCGATTTCAGGCTCAAAATGTAACACACTTTTCAAACATCAGCAATTATTGTTTTACAGCAGTATATATTACTGTAGGCCTACTGTAATAAAAAGGGTATTGTATAGTCACATCTACCGCACATAAGGTAAGATAAGGTTTGTTGGTTTTTCTAAAATATAAAAACCTCAGTCGAAATTTTACCTCACCCTCAATTTATTCTTATTTTGTTCTTAATCTTAATTTTTAAGCAATACCAGCGCTTATTCGAGCATCGGTATGGATGGCGTGGTTATTGTTATTATTATTGTTATTGTTATCGTTATTGTAAATAGTTTGCTGCTGTTCTTTCTGGTTTAGAATCACAGCTTCGTCACCATGATCAACAAAGGTGTCTAAGTGGGCCTCATTCTCTTCATCACTATCCACTACCTGGAGGTTGCTTAAACTGCTGTAGTGAAAACAACAAAAACAGATGCAATAAAAAGTTATATTATTATTTTTTTCAAATTTTTATTGTTTTCCTATTTATTGGTTTATTCATTTAGATTTTAGTTTGTATATTTAATTATGACATTGAAACATATTATACAATACTATTTAAGATTCAAAATATAAATTAACAAAACAAGAAATATCATCTTAAAATTTTAAAATAATAAAAAGATAAGAGAATATAAACATATATAAAATAAATAAATACGAACCCAATAAAAAAATACTGTAATTATATTTATGTTAAGCTCCTTTATTTTAAAATTAGGGAGGTTCATATTAAATAAAGGGTAGATTGATTGAATGTTATGCATTACAAAATCAGAAAGGTCCATTGACTCTTGCTGTTGTGGTATGGTTGCGGGAAAGAAAGAACACCAGCAAATTCAATTTAACAATTTTGGCAGCATCACCACTCTTTGATGCCGCTTTATTTCTACTGCTGTCTATTTCTACTTATATGCATCTCGTACATTACCCCACTTCTCCTGAAAAAGAATGTTAGAAATTGTACATTGTTAAACTATTCATTATATTATTATGGATTAACACATACACCAAAATTTTGATTGTACATGAGTTTGTTGTAATAAATTAATTGTATTTTAATAGATAATTATATTTTATAATAGTGCTCTGTACATTTAATGATGTAATATTTTTAATTTTAATGACAATCATACTTTTATTGAATTGTTTGTCTGTAACAAATTTTATGTTATACTTCTCTATTATTGTAAGTGATATTTATAACCTTTTTAAATGTTGATGTTAGTTGAGGCATAAATTTTCTTAGTGCTTTTAAATCCAATGATATTTAAAAAAAAATCATGAAACATATTAAATAGCATTACATAATATATTTTCCCTTACAGATACTTGGCTACTGGTGACTCATATAAAACTATATCATTTAGTTATCGAGTTGGCAAGTCAACAATTGTTGGTATTGTACCTGAAGTTTGCGAGGCTATTTGGCGTCTACAACCACAGTACATGCCTATTCCAGGAGAGAAGGACTGGATTGAGATAGCAGCAGAATTCCAGAAACGATGGCAATTCCCTAACTGCATCGATGCCCTTGATCGGAAACACGTAGTCATTCAAGCCCCTCCAAATTCTGGGTCAACATTCTACAACTATAAAGGTACTTTCTCTGTGGTGCTGATGACACTGGTAGATGCAATGTATTGTTTCAGTATCATAGATGTTGGAGCATATGGGTCAAATAGTGATGGTGGCATATTGGCCAAAAATTGGGTTAGGTAAAGCTCTTCAAGCAAACACACTGTCTTTGCCAGATGACAAGCCGCTGCCTGGATCAACAGATGTTGTCCCACATGTTCTTGTAGCAGATGAGGCTTTCCTTTAAGACGTAACATGATGAGACCTTACCCTGGACAAAACCTCAAAGACAGCAAGCGGATTTATAACTACAGACTATCAAGAGCTCGTCGGGTAGTAGAAAATTCCTTTTGAATTCTTGCTTCAAGGTGGCGTGTCTACCAAAGACGAATTCAGCTTCACCCTAAAAATATAGATATGGTGATAAAGTCAACGTGTGAGTTACACAACTTCTTACAGAAGACAGCAGTACATTCAACTAACAATGAACAGTTTAGGTAGCCGATCTACAGATGATAAAAGCCAAGTGATACAGAACCTCCGATTTACAGGAAATCATGCTTCAAAGAAGCAATTTCAATTAGGGAGACATTTAAGACATAGTTTAATTCACTTGCAGGCCAGTTTCCATGGCAAAGAAATGCCTGTTTTGGCCATGCAATTTAATTGTTTTCCAATGAGAACAAAAGTGAAAATTGATTTTTATGTATGAATATGGATGAGATTCATTTACTATCACAGAGATACTACACTTTTATATTTCTATTATACATGGGCATATAATTTTAAAATCAAATTGAGAAGTATAGTTCGAATTTAATATTTGTGATCATCTCTTAAGTTATTGTAAGTTGGAAAGTGTAATTGCGCTTTGTAATAGACTACATTTTCATTTTAAACCTGTTGAAAAATAATTGTTTTTATTTTACATGGAGGTTGGTACAACTTGTGAGAGAAAAATATGTACTAAAGCGCCCCTTATATCACAAAAATAAAAAAATAAAAACAGTTCCGGGCTAGCCTATTTATACTCATGTTGCCCGGTTGTCTAGTGAAAACTTAGCAAGAAAAAACATTTTATTTAAGTTAAAAAAAAAAAAACGGAATTTTTTAGACGATCCCTGCACAGAAGGTATCACAGCCCGAAAGTACACTGTAGCTAGTTTTCAGCTCTCTACATGCAGTGAGTGTTGAATTATTAAGATGATCCCCTAGACATTCACCAACATTACAGGATGGCATGTAACGTTATCTCTCTCAACAGATGATAGTTTGATCGTTCAATCTGGTAGAACATTTTAATTCAATATACCTGAGTACATATTGGGAGGACACAATATACAAAAGGCTAAAGACGAGAAAGATTTAGGAGTATGGATTACTGACGATTGTAAAGCATCGGTGCAATGTTCTAAGGTAGCTGTCAAAGCCATGAATCAACTCAGATTCATCAAAAGAACCTTTGAGTTTATCGATTGCGAAGCCTTCCATATACTGTTCAGATCATACATCAGACCTCATCTTGAATACTGCGTGCAAGCTTGGTGCCCTTATTTGAAAAAAGATATTCAAAAATTAGAGAAAGTACAGAGACGAGCTACCAAGGTAGTGAATAGTATTAAATCAGATCCATACGAAACAAGACTAATGAAACTGAATCTGTTTCAGTTTCAGTTTCAGTTTATTTGTTTCACACAATGAACATAATAAATGAACAAGATATAAGAACTTATTATAATAATTCGATGGTTTTGAATCATTAACTTTAAAAGATAACAATAATACGATGAAGATAGATTTCATAGTATGGATAACAATATAAATTTAAATACTGTTTAATGGATACAGTGAATATTCATTGTGTGTGGAGGAAACAATAAGCCAAGAAGGCTTTAAGTCTGTTTCTCAAAAAAAAACATATACTGAATTAGTAAATGGCTAGTGATAAAAAAAGTAATAAGGAAACAAACAGAAAAAAAAAATAAATAAATAAAGTAGATAATAAAGGTAGAAAAATGTTTCTGGGTGTAACAAATAAAAATTGAGTAATAATCAGAAAGAAAAGAATAAAATGAAATGAGATGGGATGAAGAGGATTATATTTTTAAATATTTTACCACAATTTAATTTAATAGAAGAAAATGAATAACTAAGATGCATACTTATATATTAGGGATTGTTTATTCCAGGGACTGACTGATGGTAAATTCAAGAATTATGCCAATTTTTGTGACCTCTGAGGATTATAGTGCCAAATTTCACAAAAACGTGATGCAATAATGACAAAATGATTATTATTGTTTATTATCGGCAAATACTTCAACCGCTCCAAATTTCTTTCTCTAGTATTTCCAGGCCCGTATCCGAGGGGGGGGGGGTTATGGTTCGGGAGAACCCCCCCTTTTCTAGCAAACCTCCCTCTTTTCTGGCGAACCCTCCTCTTCAGATTTCCCAAATAAGTCCTCCTACCTAAATAATGCCTGCTGACCCACCCAGACAAAGACCTTTTCAAACATATCTGCTTTTATAGCATTCTTTAGACCCATAACGCACAACAATTCCCTTGCTTTGGGGGTTTCGCCGACCCCCACCGGGGCTTCGACCGTGGACCTGCCTGGACCTTTTCGATGAATGACTAGGCCTAGCCTAGGTCGTCGGACCAAAAAAAAAAAAAATAAATTATTGTCATGGATCGCAGAGGGTTTTAACTTTTATACAGTTAAACTTGCTAAAGTAGACTTTAGCAAGCTTTAAAACTCAAATAATTCTAAGTCGATACATTTTGGTAATTTTATCTGGCCTGCCTTAAGTCAAACAATGTTTTAATGGCATTTTGGATTCCACTTAGGCAAGTTCAACTGTTAGTTCTGATGGTTCTAGGCCAAGCCTAGGCGGTATAGGATCGTTTCAGCCCCGGGTCGACAAGGCTAGTCACTGTAGCTACAGCCTAGGGCTATGCCTAGGTTACTAGGCATACTCTGATCATTTTTCTAGATAAGAATCACACTCACCACTCATTCCAACCCTGCGGGCAATTTCTTGCCAAACGTCTCTCTTTTTGTTAACATTTTTAAAATCAGCATTTGATTTATCATACAATACATTGTTTTTTTCAACCTCCAAAATCAGGCGCTCAATTTGATCGTCCATCGCGTCGCGAGTTCGGTCAATCAGTGTGTGAAAGTTGACTACTTTCGTCTTCCCTGACTACCCTCATCTGATTGGCTCATACGTTTATCGTTGCCATTAACTATAAAAAAAAATCGCTTCAAAAGTGATTCGACCTATACGATAACTTTATCATCCACGATAATCGTATCGTTATCGTTATTGTGGTATATTAGGCCTATTATTTGATGACTACCTAACACACGAGACTCGTACACAAAGCTTCCATTTTGTCGAGTGTCTATTTATTCATTATAGAGGGCAGTATGACTAATACTGTATTCGTGTATAGCAATACACTACAGTTATAGTGTGACCACTTCCATTAATTTACACCACACCGATATTTTTTTATCGTATCGTTATCTATGTGACCTGGTCTTAAAGCAATTAGTTCCGTATCAGCAGTCAATTATAAGAAAGTGGGTAAATTTGCTGGGCAGCTGTGCACGTCATGTTTTTGCGGATGTTTCCATGGTTCAACTGAATTCGCTCGTTGGCGGTGCTGACCAAAAAGAAGGAAAACTACAAGGGACTCTTGTGGCAAATTAAGATCCGTTCTCAATCTCTGGCACCAGACAATCGATCTCATAAAGAGCAATAGCTTCTTTATTTGTACTGTACGACGGGCACCATCATGAAGGAGGTGAATAATAACTCGTATAGTTACTACTACCATGCGAATATTATTCGAAGCAGTAGTTCTATAACTTGGGCACTCTTCACCATTTGCTTCGCTATAATTCTGATCGTGGTCTTTGTTCAGCCGTTCTGGATTGGCGATACCGACAATGCTAAAAGTGTAGGCTACGTTGGCCTGTATCGTATGTGTGTAAGCTTCGGCCTAAGAGGAGAGCCGGAGTGTACGAGTAAAGTATTCGATTTTAGTCAAATAGATGGAAATTCAGCACTAGCAGCTGCTACAGTTTTTGTTGGGCTTGGTGTTATTTTTGTTCTGTTGTCAATTTTCGGAATGTGTTGCTTTATGTGTCGTCAACCCACACCAACTACAGTTTTCAGAATCTGTGGTGTTTTACAGTTATTGACAGGTATGTAGTACCCGGTTGAGCAGGGGTTGCGCCAAGATTTGCCCACCGGAGACAGACGTTCCCGAAGGGTAGGCAAGAGGGGTAAAGGGTCCCCGTAGGGAACAGGATGCCAAGGGCGTAACCTCGATGGGCGGAAGCGAAGCCCCATTTCTTAAACAGTTTCTATTAAGTTTCAGATGCCATTATGATAATACGACATGTATGGTTCAACTGTCAATCATTTGATATAAAAACTTTACTTTTGTATATTACACACAAAACAAAGTCGCGGTGCGTCCATAGTCAACGTACGCCAAAAAATACAAATTTTGCAAATGCCAATGTTGAATCGGATTCCTGTTAGGCCTAATACAAAGATTTTTTATTGTTCCTAATTTCTTTTCATAAAAAGTCTCTATACTAGGCCTACAACACAATTCGGTACATATGAAACTTAGCCTTATCCCTGTCGATGACGGCTACAAAATCAAGCCTACTTTCACTACCGCTATGGATACTTCACATCATCCTTTCATTTGCCATTATTGACCGTGTCTTGCTGAAGTCGCACTTAAATTCAGTCGTGGACACTAACCGGGAGTGAACAAGCCACTGTCACGATCTTTTCGAGCTAGAAGAGCGCATCCTTCTATTTGCACAAGAATGACTGCAGCTGCAAAAGCCTATCAGCACAGAGGCAGAATCCGAAATCCCTTTCATTATTTTTATGTTGTTATGGATCGACACAAATTTCGAACTCGAAGACGTTTCCAATTAGTCGTGTAAAGCTTCCTCGTCCATGTGCGCCTCGATTCGGTTACGAATTGCCGAAAAGCAGCAGGTTGTACCCTTTGTCGCTGGGGCCGTGCGCGCTCAGGGAGTTTAAGTGTGTTGCAAAAGTTTTCTGCTAAATCGCATGGCATCGTTCTCTCAATCTAATCGCTTTTAGATCGCCTTCTATACAGAGCACAGAGGCATATTCTGCTTCCAACAGTATTAGTCTTAAGAACTAGCAATTATCGAAACTTTCGGTCAAACTACTGCAACAAGCGGTCGATTGGTTGCTCTTAGTCCGTGGCTGCCGTTGGTTTCCTCTTCTACCGAAGAACTTTGTAAATGATACGTAGACGACTCCACACGACATCAAACTGTTCCGCTGGCAAGCCAATCGGGTATTTGAAACCTTTTTTATTCTATAAGTCTGACTCCATGTTCTCGCTGCTTTTCTTTCCATCCTACATGGTGCTGCTATAAACAAGGTAGGTTCTTAATTAGCCCTATCATCTATCGAAAATACACTGAATTGGCGTGACTAGTTCAACGATCACGAGATTCAGTCGATGGGTGAAACAATGCACATACTGTAGTAGACGTCGCTGCCTCTGTTTTCTCTTGAAGTTGTTTTTGCTCCATCATATCTTTGGCCAATGAAATCCCCCCTGACGACATTCAATCTCTAAAGTTGACTGGTGATTGTGTCGGCAAGCATCAGCATCCAAACCAAGTGCTTCTGTAACACCTGTAAGATTGAAAAAAAAAATGACATTGTTGAAAAATACTTATATTTGATGACTTGATCGAAGTGTTGTGTTCCAACGCTATGACAAACAGTACCTAGATCAACACATTTTTCATTCATTTTGTAACCGTATCTCATAGCAACAACATGTTCCTTGTGGGCTTTATCCTGATGATTTGATCAAGAACCATAGTTTTCATTATTTCCAGGAGAGCGTTCTGTAATGTGTGGTGTGCTTTTCTACGTTCCATGGACCAGACTCAGTCTTTTCTGCAACAATTTCATTGTTTTTTTCCCACTAAAGACAAAATGGCAAAGAAATAATGACCCAAACTCTCGCTAGCTATCTTTCGCTGAGCAGTGAAAAGTAATATTTCGCAAACAGTGTTCTAAAAAATAGTACGCCGACATTTAATTATTTTTATTTTCAATCTTTCGACAAGAAACAACACTCGAATAAAAAAAAAATTCGGGCAAAAACGAGGCAAATTTTGTTTTTCTCTATAGTGGGAACTCGCACCTATGTATTCTCTTCACTTTCACATTTATTTATTAAAGACAATCCTCATTCAATTGTTTAACATTTTTAAGAAGCCTATATACAGAAAATATAATAACCCATACATATTTATATGGGGAAAATTATGTTTACAGAAACTAATGGGATGATGCGATTTGTTCGTGTGATGGGATTGCGCTGCAGCTATTGTTTTCTTTACTGTTGTTGTATTTCCATATTCATCTCGTGCATGTTCATGCAAATACACAGCTGTTCCACGGTATATATGCTTTTTTGGGCTCTTGCAACGAGTTTTCGTTTGTTCCGTTGCAAGCCCTGCGCACGTTATTTTGGCAGTATGCAGTTCGTTATTTTGGCAATATGCAGTTCTGAAGTCCATGATGTAGTGTATATTATACGGTAATCTGTAGTTAATTTAATTGAATGATATGTGTGCATTGATACAATAAGTTATAAGCATGTTATATTATAATATGTAGTTAATTCATGTCCGCATGGGCGTCGATCGGTGGGGACAGGGGGACACGTCCCCCCCCCCCACTTTTCAAAGTAGGGGGACATCATATCGACTGTTCCCATCCCCCCCACTTTTCACCAATCTTCTATAATTAAAACCCCACTTCTAAAAGTGAATGGAAAGAATAACAATTACGCATGAATCATGAATTTTGTCTTTTCACTTTTCCAAGTGCGGTACGTATTCTCCGGACTAAAACGGAGTGTAAAAACGCAATCGTTTATACACTTCGTAACCATCTCAGAAACCACTAGATCGATTTAATGGGTGCAGCGGTTATCAGAGGCTAAATTTATTGTGAAAACAATGTACTGAACGTTGTTAAAATTGGAAGGGTGTTTACTTATTAGACTAATATTTTTACAAAATCAAAAGTGCACAATTTCTACTATAAACGATTTATTCCTTTTGTATATTATTATGACCCGTACGTATATACTACAGTAGTGTTTAATATTTTCTACATACATAGGATTACTGTTTTTTTCCTAATTTCAAAAAAATTATAGTTAGTGAATTGAATTTTATATAGCCATTATTAAACAATAATTATACAGCCTTTGAGAGTGCCATTTCCGGCAATCTAGAGGTGTCATAATCATAAATTCTTTCCTCAGCCCCAACCATGGTGGGGCTGAGGTGATCTACTTTCAAAAATCGTGCAAGTCCCTCCCTGTCCCTCTTCTATTTTGCTTTCCTGGTAATGATAAATTAAATAAATCACCTTTATGTTTGTGAAATCAAAATGCTAATATTTTGTGTGTTCCATATCTTCCTAGTCCTGTTTGATCGTAAATTAGACGGCATTATTTCCACTCACAATAGTTTGTCGCAATATTACTTACACAAAAGTGAAATTCAAAAAGAGGAGAAAAGCTAAATCCTCTTCATTGATTTTAAAAGTACTGTACATGCAAAAACACTATTAAAATTAATGACTGTTTTAAGCTTATCTTATTTGTTTTTCGTAGTTCGAATTTTGAACACGTCACAAGCTAATCAGTAGATAATAAATCATTATTTTTATGAATGTTAGATTGCACGAAATATATAAGCGGGCATAATTATGACTAAAAGAAAAATTGTTAAAACTTTTTATGACGAGTATTTCAGTGTCAGATTGAAGGGCCCAGCCGGCACACCATCCCTATTTTTTTTTTTTTTTTCGAAATTTAAAAGTGGAAAAAAATGAAAATTATATTAAAATTCAGTCTGAGAGTGCCATTTCCGACCAAGAGGTGCCATAATCATAAGTTTTCTTACCTCACTCCCAACCATGGTGGGGCTGAGTTGGTCTACTCTCTCTATCTGTAAAGGTCCTTCTCTGGGCCCAACTATATTTCAAATCACTGGATCCGCCACTGGATACTTTGAAAATTTCGTATGGAAAGTGTTAATTGCATTGCTTAAAATCAATTGAAAGGCTATAGGCGCCAGAGCTCCGAGGGCTTCGCCCCCTGGTCCCCACCCAAGGCTTGAATGTACAGCCAAAGGCTTTATTTTTCATTTCATCCCCCCCCCCCCCTTTCCACCACGGATCGACGCCCTTGGTAGTTAATTCATGTCCACATTGGACTAATGCCGGTATTGAATGCATTGTTAATATTATTGTGCTGTACATTTACATTTGTTAATATTGTTGTTATAGTACATTCCGCTAATGGGGAGTGATTGTTATTACTTATAATCGTTATATTCTTGTTTAGTGATTAATATACCGTTAGCTTGGTGGCCAGTAATACTGTAGTCTGAAGTTATGGAAGTTTTGGTGGCCATTATTAGTCTGTAGTTAACAGTAGTTTGTTGGAGCGTCCATTAGTCTTTAGTGTCAGTAGTGTTGTTGGAGCATCCAATAGTCGTAGTTTACAGACTCGTGCATTAAGCATACTCTAGCTTGAGGTAAATACAAGTTATTACACCATTTTAATAGGCTATGCTATTTAATCATCAAATTGTTTCTGATGTTGGTGTGTTGCCAGGTTATATCAGAATTGTTGTTAAATTCTATAACTTGCCTAATGTTGTTATCCTTGATATATTGTGTAATTATAACGCATTATGTAATTCTTGTTTGTAATATATATTTTGCAGGGTTTTGTTTCGTATAGTTCGCTTTGGTTTATGTGCAAAAATGTGCAAATAAAACGTTGAATGCTATACACAGATGTCTTGTGATTGATTACCAACCGAGTCTAAACTACTCAAGGAAGATTGTACCCCCCTTTTCAATATCTTTCTAAAGTCGAACCACGACACTAATAAAAAGAATCAACAAACTTGAGGGTTTTTTTTGTACCGTACATGCGGATAATGGTTCATGATGTCGTCCGAAAATATAACTTACCATCTCCTAAATCGTCCAGACTTATATAAATTCTTTTTCTTTACTTTTGTGTGTCGCTGAAACCGTTTTGCAACTCTTCTCTGTATAAAAGCAAAACCTGAAAACATGGTTATGAAAAACTTAAATTATGATGGAAACAAAACTAATGCGTAGACGTATCTACTGCCGAATGCTTTAACAAACAAGATGTTTAGCTTTATATTACAGCTACTGTCTTATGTTTAAGTGTTTATTCAAACAGTGCACACGTCAAAGCTTCGGGCTGATTTACTTCAGCCTATGTCAGCTTCACTATTGACACCACCACACCAATATGACTGTATTATGATGGAATAATTGAACAGTAATTTGGCAGTCTAAGAGGTGCAGTTTACATGGCCCACCGGCGTGTGGACAAAGCACTGATAGACTACATGCTGGTGCGCCAGAGCGTTGATAGGGATGTTTTGCACACTAGAGTAATGCCCAGCGCAGAGTGTAACAATGATAATCGTCTGGTTCGCTGCAAACTCTGGTCTCCAACCCAATGCCAAGGATAGAGGCACTCAAAGGATGCAGTGAAAGCTAACTTTCATACAAGACCTCAGTGGAAAATTTTAAGAATTTCTACAAGAAAAATGAAGACTGGTTTGATGAAAACGACCAGGAGAACCAATATTTGCTGTTGAAAGAGAGGTCCGCCCACCAGACACACCTTACTCAGCCATCTTTAAAAAAAATACTTTCATATTACATCAAATTTTAACAGCTTTTAGGACGAGCCTTGCAGTTTGATGCAGACACTGATAATTACAGGGTGTTTTTCGAAACATTGAAGGCAGTACTTTTAGCAAAACCAAAACCATTTGCGCAGTGCTGACCACCAGACGCTCTTTACAGACAAGGTGTACATCCTGAAGCTGGGGTCAGATCATGTTCATACACACTTCAGCGCCAAACGTATAGTACAAGACTCGGGGCAATTCTTCGTATCCCAATCCTGAAATCTGGAAGCATGGAGACCCAGCATTACACACTATGTTTCATTAGTTCCTTGTCTGCTGCTGGGGCACGCCTCTCCAAACAAAAAATACTCGCCACCACACCCCCTCCCCCACCCAGTCGCTCCCAAAAATCACTTGCAAGTAGTTAAAAATCACCAACAATCACCCTATTTTGCGAGTTAGCGCCTCTGAACTGATCATTGAGTTTTATTGTACAACACTAGCATAAGTATGCTTCATGTTGGGAAGAGGCAGTGGACGTTAAGCCCCTGTCGTCTACGACTCGGATCAAAAAGGATATTTCTGCAAGTATTTAGGGGGAAACGAGTTTGATAACTTCTCAGCTTCTACTCCCACTAAGTCTTCGCTCTTAGGCCCAATTTCTTTATCCGAAATTGTAATATTGCTGTTTGGCAGCTACGCCCTATGAATCTAAACATCATAGTGAATCAAGTCTCTCGATAAAATGACACTAAACTATAATTACGTCATATACGGTATATTAAATATCACACTGGTTAACCAGACATTGACATTTAAAGTACTCACTATGTCTAAACTGTATTTTTAGATTAAAGTTGGTTGTTTTAGATGCGAAAATATGAAGGTGAGTTTTTATTTTATATGTAAGAATTGAATATCCCAAATTATGTCAGTTGTGGCACATGGACTTGTCCAAGAAGGCGGACAAGGTTTCGACGAGGTCGCCATGATAGCTTAATTGGGATTGGGTTGCCTTGGGCCCCAGTGGAATGCAGGTGCCAATGGAAAAACTAGTTAGGTAAAGGGAGAAATTTATCCCCGACAAGCATCGACCCCCGTTGTCCTTAAAAATTACATTAGTATGACTGTCTACTATTTTAGTACGATCTAGTTAGTATGTTGTAAAAACTGAAGACCAACATTTAAGCCTTGGAACTGATTTGGCCTATTTTTAAATGTAATTGAAATTATACTAAATAAAGACAATTTGCGGTGTTCTGGATGCATTTATAGAGATACTGTTTATTTTTTCCCATGAGGCTAATATAAAGAATATTTATTATAAACTGATTAATGTTTAATACCAAATTGCAGTAGATAAAAAATATATGTGTAAAGTTTGATGTACTCTATGATATTATATAATGTAGTCTTCATTAAAGTAGATGGGAACCTTTTTAATTTTATACAAGAAAATATAATACAGCTCTTTTCAAATGCCATTTCTTTTTTTTTAAATACTGTATTAAAAAAACTGTGTTCAAGATAACTTCATAAATACAATATTTTTTAAAATAATATTGTATTTATGAAGTTATCTTGAACATAGTTTTTTTTTTTATTCCGTAAAGTAATTGACATTTGTATTACGATTTGAAATTTGTATTGTGATATTTTTTGGTAATAATTCAGACTTGTGCGATGCTGGAAAATGAAAAAAAATGTCATTACGATTTGCCTAATCTTTTTGTCTTAGGTATATTTGTCCTCATTGGTATCATCATTTACCCAGCTGGATGGGACCACAGCATTATCAAAAGCTTGTGTGGTGGCGATTCATATTCGCTTGGTGGATGTCAGCTGCGATGGGCGTTTGTGTTGGCCATCCTGGCTGTATTTGATGCCCTTATCCTTGGAATTATAGCCATGCTTCTGGCCAGCAAACATGATAAACTTCACCCTGAGCACTTAGAACACTATGCAAAAAAACGTAAGTCATATGATTGTTGGAAAATGGAGAATGTGTCTGCGTCGTTATACATGAATCTCAAGATTTTCGATTAGTAGTTAGTGTGAGTGCCTTGATAGTTAATATGGTTTATGGTCTGCTAGTTATGTTATATATTTCTGATTTACTGGTTTCAAGTGGTTGAGTAAATGTTTTTAACCATTGTCGTAGCGCCACTGAACATTGCATTCTGCTATGGATTTGGCGCTATGAAACTCCTTGTTGATTGATTGATTAAATTGATGATTTTTAAGGGCCCATTATGTATTTCCAAAGAGGATCAATAAAAATAAATATTTTCAAATGTTCAATGTTATTATTTTCTGATTTTATCTGTCTTCACCTCTGCAGCTGAAAAATTATCGGAAAAGAGTTCAATCTCTCGAGCGTTGAAATTATCACGTAACTTCAAAGTGAATCCTCTTTCCGTAGAAGAAAACGATGACGAGCGAAACAATGGAGGTGTATCGTCACCCAGTCATCGTGGGCCATCGCCCGATAGTGAACCAACCATTCGGACACGAAATGATTCTGGCACAAAAGTCTCATCTGCTTGGCAATAATGAAGAATAGATACAGACACCGATAGACGTGATGATAGGCAGGACCTTGTGATGTGTAACGCTCTTATGACTTTATTTTCATACAACATTAGTACTTTCTTGTACTTTCAGCAAAATTATCTCAGGATTTGTAAAAAAGTATAATTGTGTATTTGCTTCCATTATCATTTAAATTTTCAAACTACAGACAGAATATGATACCATTATGCGAGTCTGTGAGGCTAATATAAAGAATATTTATTATAAACTGATTAGCAGTAGATAAAAAATATATATGTGTAAAGTTTGATGTACTCTATGATATTATATAATGTATCTACAGACTGGTTTATGCTGTTACACTTATTTTAGCTACCGTTAACTACTTTATTATTAACTCTGAATATTATTTATTATTCTCTGGTAATATAAGCATCACATATTTAATTCCAGTGTTGGTATTAAATTCCAATGTTGCATGACAGATAACAATGGCTTGATTTTAGTTGAGTCGTAGAAATTAAACTAGAATGTAAAAAGGAACCATATACTTCATTACTGTATGCTGTATGCACAGATAAACTACTATTTCAGTAAGTATATTAGACAAAATTATCTCAGGATTTGTAAAAAGTATAATTGTGTATTTACTTTCATTATCATTTAAATTTTCAAACTACAGACAGAATATGATACCATTATGCGAGTCTGCATTAAGACGCACATGCAATTATGCGTTTGATCGCTCCACTAATTTACCAACATGCTACATAAATTTTATGTAGTATCAATTGGTTATAGATGATTGGTCTAAGCCCCCCCCCCCCACCGGAGAGGTTAGGGGGCCCCCTTCTCTTGGACAGAGCTCGTCCGGCAGTCAGTTCATAAACAAATAAATAAGAATAGGCCCACACCAAGCCACACGTCTGAAAGTGCCTTTTCCGACCTTTCAGAGGTCTTCCAAATCTCATTTGGAAGAACTCCACCTTAAAACCTTCCACCAGCTCGGGCCTACGAGCTCAAGTCCCCTTGTCGGACAGCTTAGCTTCCCCTCCCCCAGAAAATAAGGTATATCCTATAGCCGCCACTAATTTAGTACCCTATCAAAGGCCTTGCCATTATGATGTAATTTACACCCGCAAGGTCTTCGATTTTAGCCGGTAACTGTGTTTCACAATCTTCCTTGCCATGTTGATTGTACCAGGGGCGGATTTAGGGGGAGGTAAAAAAAGAAAAAAAAAAGAAAAAAAGAAAGAAAAAGAAAAAAATTATAGCCCACAACACCTCAAATGTTATTTTCCGGCGTCTAGAACACAAAAAATTTCGTGGGGCATGCCCCCGGACCCCCTAGGACATTGTTGTCTCGATCGGCCCAATTTCGGCCCCCCTTTTGGACATCTCTGGACCCGCCTCTTTGTACAATAGCAATATTAATTTCCAGTGATCCATTATTGTATCGCAAGTAATGTGTTCCAACAATTTGCAAACCACTGACGTCAGAGAGATTGTTTGATGGAAGCGAAATATTCATTAAGGTATTTATTACACAATCATATAACAACTTTAAAATATATAACAGCAGTCAAACAAAGGGAAGACTGAAATTGTTATATTTACAGGGGAATTTAAAAAAAATTACTACACACAATTCATAATTAGGCCTACAATTAAAATATACAATTCAAATTACAATTCCAAAATACAATTCAAAATTACTTGTATAAAAAAAAAGAAGTAAATATATAGGAATGTTTATTTTCAATTATGCGAAACGTAGTATTTTCGAATCTGTTCGATAATTATTATAAGTTTATGATATGAACCTTAATAAAGTTCATTAGGAATTCCTATTATGGAGGGGATTGCAGAGTTCTTATATCGTTTAGTTTTGGGAATGAGTCCTTGGAGTTTTCTTACTCTTCTGAGTGAAACGTTTGAGTCAATACGTCTGCGAGATAGCATATGCGAGTAGCGTTCAAAATTGTATAGCGATTTTGCAAATGAAGTCAAAAGAGTTCTCCTTCTTTCAACTAAAGTGGGGATTTGGTATAGATCTAGAACTTGATCATAACTATATTGTTTAGGATAAGTAATAATTCGTAGTACTCTTTTTTTGTACCCGTTCAATGTTATAACTTTGTGCTGAAGTAATACTGGTAGTCCAAACAGGGCATGCAAATTCCAAAAGTGGTCGAATATAGGCAAGATAAACAAATATAAGATCAGATTGATCCGCTCCATTTCTTTTCAGGTAGCTAATCATATAAATGCGACAAGAAGCGTTACGTATCATATCGTTAACGTGGGTGTTCCATTTTAGATCAGATTGTATTGTCACACCCAGGAGTTTGAGAGATAGGATTGGTTCAAGGGAATGATTATCCAATACAATATTATTATTATTAACAATGTCACCATTAAGGAAACTAATTGTCATGTTATAACATTTCTGGGGTTTGAGTTTCATTGAGTTGTCTTTACACCATTGATTGATGTTATTCATAAGAACTTGTAACCTACTTTGGTTAACATGATTCCGATTGACAATATCAATAATGCTGAGATCGTCCACATATTTCCATCTGTTTTCAGTTGACATGGCTGCATCGTTAATCATAGCAAGAAAAATAATTGGAAGTTTTGTCCCTTGCGAGACACCACACGAGACTGTAAGTGTGGAGGAAATTCCACCTAGGAATTTAACAGACTGTTTACGGTTAGTCAGAAAATTAGCAATGTTAGGAATAATTGAGGGGTTGACATTCATTTTGATTAGCTTGTGAACTGCAATCGTGTGGTCAATAATATCGAAGGCTTTTTCAAAGTCTACCGTGCAAACATTAACAAAATGTCCAGGTTTTTCAAGTCCACGTAGTATTATGTCCAACATACTTATTAGATAGTGATTAACAGAACTGCCTTTGATATTACCAAACTGCTGAGTATCAATATTGTGTTTCATATCGTCCATCACCCATTCTGCTAAGAAACCTTCAAAGATGCGAGCTAAAATTGGAGTTATAGAGATAGGTCTAAAACTTGCAAAATCTTTTGCTCGCTTTACTTTGGGGACAGGGGTAAT